TTAAACTTTGATGGAGTTCATAAAATTGTTGTGTAGAGGCTTCCTAATGGATTGTTCCGAGCAACATGCCTCTCCCATCTTACCCTCCTTCCTATCCTATCATGAGATATTTTTTGACCAGTTTCTCTAAGCAGCTGTTTAGAGAGTTTTTTCGTTTGTGCTCTGATCCCGAATCGTTCCGGTTATCGTGTGAAGAATTTTTTTCTCATATATTTCAAACTTTTTTCTAAGGTGATGGTTTCCTCCAGATCTTGCAGCTTTATATCAGAACGTGCTCAATGCATTGCACTAGGTCATGGCATGAAAAGAACTCATATATGGTTCCGCAATATTAATCAAAAAAAATTCAAATAATAAAATACATATCCTAAAAGTGCCCGTATAGTGCGGAAGGACGTGGGGGGATACCGCCTCCCCCTCCCTGGGGCGGATGGTGAACAAATCCCGTTAGCCAACTCATAAACACATTAGCCCCGCTCTCGGGAGGCCAGTGTACTCCATCTGTCCCATTTATATCCCCACCCACCGCTCATCTCCATATTGCTCTCGCCGTTAGCCAATTTGTGGTCTCTTCTCTGCTTATATATTTACTCTAGTTGCAATATTTTAATTCATCTTTCAACTTTTGATAGCTTTTATAAAAAGTTTTTTTATTCCGATAACCTAATTTTTCGAGTTTAACTATCAAAGACTTCAAACTATCAATTTTTTAAAATTGATCCACTATCTGGTTATACATTCGAAAATGCATACAATTAGTAGAGACTGAATTTTTGAGCAATTTCATCATTTTTCGCCATCTATGGTTCTACAACAGTCATAGAATCATAGAGACTAGGGGGCTATGTTTATGGCTATGTTTATCTCTTTTTAAAATCTAATTTAATTGTTAAATATTTAATAGTTGACTGTTGCATTATTAAGGAAGGAGATGGTCCGGGGTGGCGGTCATAAATAGACTAAATAGTGGCAAAACTATTTTATTAAAAGCCAATGTTTCGACCCAAATTTGCAAGTCTTCTTCAGGGATGTGTGTTCAGCAAGGAGTTTCAATTAGAAACGTTGGCTTTTAATAAAATAGTTTTTTCACCATTTAGTCTATTTATGTCCATCTCCTTCCTTAGTTTAATTTTTGTGTGTGTGGGCAAGATCAACTCTCCTCACAATTCTGTTTAGAACGTTACATCTTAAAACTCCATTCCCGTCAGAAAGTAGGCTGAAGGTTAAACTCTCTAATGAAATGGTTGATGAATTTTAATTATTCTCTGTAGCTTCTACTTTGGCCCTGAATATTCAGACGGCTTTAAAGAAGTTTAATTGAGAATACATTTGAGGGTAGCAGATCTGGAATGATAAATTATATTACAAAAAAAATAATACAAATTTTCAAAATGCTTGTTTCTTTAATCAAGAAAAGTATTATACATAAGTTTTACATCAATCAATAATATAGTGATTTAACAACAGATTAAGATGAAAATATGTGAGAAACATAATAAAAATTTTTGTCAAACCTACCATTTTTAAATTCTATACCAATAAAGTATAACTCGGATGCACAATTAATAATTTTGCAATCAATTTCTAGAACTCCAAAAGTTCAAAAATTACTATCCTTTCTATGGTCATTTATGAAAGTGAAATGTGGCCTTTATGTTTTAAAAAAATATAATAAAGGTTTCGAAAATGTATAGATACTTATTCTGTCGGAAAAAAAAAATATAATTTCTGTGGAGCATTTAGGAGACTGCACAATGACTGATGGGTAGGGATGGTTCAAAAACTACAGCTATATGTGTACAGCTGGTAAGCTTATCAGAGAAATATTCCAAACAGAATCTAATGAATGTTATATTTTGAAGTTGACCCAAGAAATAACATTTCAGACACAGGCGGTACACAGTAATAGCTACATGTGCTTGAATGGAATAGAAGGAAAACAGTCCATCCAGGCCTAACATACTAAGGGTTCCACAGATTTGGTCAATAATTATTGATATCATAATTATAAAGAAATTACATATTTGTTTTTAATCAGACATTAATATTATTAAAGGTATATTAAAGTACAAAGTGATATCTCAATTTTTAAAGTAATTATGAATATATCGTGTAAAACCCGTTTGAAAGAAAAATACATTCAGAAATAATGTATGAATATCATTTAAATAGCAATGCTTTTCTTTGCAAGAGATAATTTTCTTATAGGGTAATGATTTTCCTACTCTTGATGTCATTGAACGCTTCTATTGGTAGTTTATAACTATTATCTTTTATACACCACTAAATTTTTCCTATTGTTATGTTAAGAAATGATGATTATGTATCTATACATTAATCAACATTTAAATGATAATGTATTTATATATTAATCAGCCACTTTATATTGTCAGGTTCAGCTTTTTGTTTTCTCAATAGATACACAAAGCTAATTTTAATGAAGAATTTAATATATTTTTATTTTTTAATTCTTTATGTTTTCTTAAAAGTGTATACTGGTCTATCAGTGCAAATAGCTCCAAGTGTCTTGTCATAGTGTCAATTGTTTTATATAAGGTTTCATTTGTTTTGTATATAGAATGTTTACCTTATATTTTCTTTACATTATTTCTGTTTTTCTATTGATTTAATTTTGGCCAGATGTAATCTTTTAATTTTGTTCTATTTTGTTATTCTCAAGAGATTGTGTCCCAGAATAAAGTTATTTTCTATTTATCTATCTATGAATAACCTCCAGGAGGGTAGATATTAATTCCTACTCAAAGTAGGGTGTTAACTGAAAGTTATGTGATGTGCAAAACTAGATTTTAACATTAAACCAAAGCATGCACAAAGAACAAAACATTAAACAAAATTGTATATATTAAAACATATATTTTTTTTTAAATTAACTAAAATACAGAAACAAGATATTTTAAACTACTATATATATATAGAATGCCTGCACTGTTTTTGATAGCCACAAAATTTGGCTCTAACTAGGTTAAAATTTGTTGAATAGATAAGTCACAGAAAGTTATAAAATGAAGTTTTTTGAAGGATAAATAACTTTTAATTTGTAGGTTATGTATAGTAAATGAGAAATGATTGTAGTACTGACAAGTAGTGAATCCAGGATTTAATTTTGGAGGCTTTTTTTTTTAGTAACATAGTTAAAAACTAATGATTTATTAATTCTACTATAATTGCTACAACAATTATGGTTTTAGAGGTAATTTTTTTATATTTTTTCTTGACAAACCCATGTAGTAAAAAAGGGAACGTGCTGTGATTTTTTATGTGAAAACTTCTTTAAGCGTGTTTTACATTTTTTTTTTTTTGTGGAGAGTGAATTAGATTGAGCCATTGGATGTCTGATGTATATCATCCGATGCGTAACGCTTGGATAAAATCGGCTGGAGTCGACTAATTGAAGTGTGTTTGCATATGGATTAAAATATCTCAAAAATTAAAAATTAAACCTGCATATTGTAAGTGAAGAAATTGTTCAGCATTTCATCCTCTTTACAATGAGCTATTATTTATAATTTCTTTTCTTGTTAATGTTTTCACTTCTATCCTGAGGTCTAAAGCACACACCTTAGTTATTTTTTTAAGTATTTGTCGCTAATCACACATAAAAACAAATATGGAGTAATGATAAAAACCTATTTATATATATATATATATATATATATTTTTTTTTTTTTTTTTTGTGGGGGGCTTCAACAATAAGCCTCCCTTGAACCACCAATGTTACTGAAGTGTCAGAGAGGAAAGTCAAGAAAGATGTCCGAGTCCCTTAGTCTCGGTAAAGATTAAAAATTATGTCAAGCTATGACTTTAAAAAGCAACCCTGCTAGTAGCTTTTTTCTTTCCATTTTTAAAAAATTTGAAACTTTTACACAAAATAAATTTAAAAATATATATATTTAATCTGGATAGAAATATTAAGTTCAAGAAAAATATACATATAATTTAAAACTTAATTATAAATATTTTATAAAAGTTTCTTCACTCGGAGATTGTGACAACATTAAAAAAAAATCAATAGGACAATCCGACATTCTACCTACTAGTACCACCATTGCAGAAAACAGACCTTAAGACTTACCTGAGGCCTTTGGCAAAAGAAGACCCTCACCTTGATCTTGTAGAGATTATAAAAAAAATTAATCAAATTTTGTTGCAGCTGTTATTTTTCTCATTAATTGGGGAAGGAGAGTATCACTTATACTTCCAAATACTGGAGCTCACACTCAGCTTATCTTACTAATTAATCTTGGAATTTTTGAAGGTTTGTATTTGATAAAAAATGCAAGCATTTTTCCTCACTACTACCAAAACTTGCATTGCCTATTGGTAGAGCAGGATTTTAAATAAATAATTAATATTTCATAAAAATATTAAAACCAAGATATTTTAATAGATTATTTGATAATTTAAATAAATGTTATTAAAATATTGATAATGCTGCAATTATGAACACCTCAAACAATTTACAGCTCAATAATTAATTATTAGAAAACAGTGTAATGGAATATTATTTCTTAAATTATACAATTTTAAACTTGCTCAGCGAAACTGATTACAGTATGATCAGAAGACAGTATGATTATTTAATTTCATCTTTAATATTTTAAACAGAAGTTTCTATCAGAATAGAAAAAACTTAAATATTGCTGATTGGTTTACTTCAATTTCCAAACAAAAAAGACAATATACCTCATCATTAAAATATACTATTACAATTATTGAAATATTACTCATAAAATATGTATCATAACAATAATGCATAAGAGAAGACAAATTTCTTAGAATAATAAATAGCTTTAAAAAATTATAAATCGCCAATATGAAATTAGTTATTACACAAATACTGGTTTTAATAGTGCCAAAAATGTGCTAAAATATAATGTTTATACAAAAGTACAATTATTTATTACACAAAAACTGGTTTTGATAGTTCCTAAAATATTGTAAAATATAATATTCATAATTAAAAATGTCTTTTTAACTATCTAATAAATTAAAAGGTTTGGTGAGTTAAATAACATTAAGTCATGCGACTACTCATAAATAATATTAATTATAAATTTTCAACATAGTTTAGGTATAAAAAAAATTTTGATTTTAACAGGATAAAACTAAAAAGAATTACAAATAGGAATATAAATTATCATAACAGTAACTAAAGACAAAGTGATAACATAAGTACCTATGTAGTCTATAAATTGTTCGAAAATTACTATAGAAATAACAACTTTAATATAAACATAATATACAATAAGCTTTAACTTATATCAGATCTTACAAATCCAAAGCAATCAGCTTGTAGTTTTAGTAAGGTGATCACTATGATTTTAGAAGATTGTCACACTGATGCATCATTTACTCAAAGGTATGACAATGTATTGGAATATCACCCCATAATTCCCCTCCCTCCCTCTTGAAGTACTGATATAGTGATTTTAAGTGACCTGTCATGACCGTTAACAGTGTCCACTAAGCACCAATTATGATCAAGTCATTTTGGCTAAACCAAAGTGCTAAAATCACCTCACCACTATTACATGCATAATACTGTGAAATCTAACTTATAAAAAGAACACACTTCAATTATTAGGCATTTTCTTGCTGCCACGTGTACTTTATTGCATAAGAGCTTCACTTCATAAAAGAGTTACTTTTTGTTAAAAGTCCAGCATGGCTCTCTGACATGGGGATTTTAGCCGCTTGTTCTGTGACCTTTTTGAGCGGTGTGAGGTTGACTTTTGATACAAAACCTTCCTTTAAATTCTGGAATTACACAGAAATAAAGAAATTAATATAGTGTGAAATTTTCTTTAAAAATATCATATAATTTAATCACTGTTTTGATCTGTAAATCATCAGGAAGTCAGTTTGATTTTATTAATATTTTGTTTTTACTATCAATATTTTCTTCAGATCTAGATAAATATTGTATTTAATTATTTTTTAATATGTATTTTATAAATAATTTATTAAGAATTAAAAAATAATATTTTGTTATTTTAATCATCACTGATTCACTTCTGTTTGTGATTGGAAGATTTTATTGAATTTTTTTTTTTGTTTATTTAATGAAATTTAAAACTGCATACAAATGCAACTAGTAAATATACTTAAATTATAAATAATGACATGAACAGGCTTGAAGAGATACTACCCAGTGGTAGCACTCCCTAAATAATTCTAGGTAAGAAGATCAAAAGGCCATCTCCTTTTCAGATGCCTAGGAGGATTATCAGAAATTGAGGAAGAAGCAAGGGTGGAAAAAAGGGGATTTGGATGGGACTGGAATTTATCATGAAAGGATAGATATCTGGCTCAGGCTAGATCAGCGACATATGGTACATTAAGGTCTTTATGAATGGTTTTATTTGTGACGAACTATGGAGCATTAAGGATTTTATGGAGGATTTTGGATTGTAAGGATTGAATAGATAGGAATTTGATGGTTTGATGGAGCTCTAAAGTTCAACTCTGTATGTCTGTATAGGTCTTATTATAGTTATGTATATGAGTCTAACAAGAGGTGAACAATAAAATATCATTGGAGAGAAGACATGCACCATCAACCTTGGGGAAGATGGGCAATCCTGCAATGCTGTCCTCCAATTATGTTTTTTTTTTTTTTTACAACATGCTTCTACTCATAACTTTTTGGTTATCTATTAAAAAAATAATAAATCATATCTGAACTTATGAATTAATGAACATTTATTAATTTTAAAAAAAAATGTTCTATTATAATTATTAAATGATTTTTTCATTCACCAAAACTGTGCTAAAATATAATATTTATAATTTAAAATGTTTTTAACAATCTACTATGTTTTGCTATACCTCCATGAATGATCCTGGTGAAGTAAGCAGGTAATAAATGGCATATCCAGGTATCCAGAGCATGGATGACAAACTTATCATGATTCCTATAGCTTCTGCCCAAGTTGGGTACTCGTAATTACCATACTTTGCAGGAACATACTCAAAAATGTAGAATATGAATATTCCCTAAAAATACAGTAAATAAGACAATTAAAAACCAAAAGATCATACAAAAATAGAGTTATTATTAAATATTGTTAATAATTTTATCTTTAAAAAAACATTAAATATAAAAAAATATTGCCTGGACTGTAAAAAGCCATGCTGGCTCTGTAACCAGATTTAAACTATTGGGATGCCATCAGAGTATTTATCATATTATACAAGAAATTTTAAGTAATGAATAGTAAAATAAAGAGCTGTATTTTAAAGATATCATCATTTGAGTTCTAACAACAACTAACTCAATTATGGATTAAAATGAGTTAGGTAGCTAACTGGATTTGTTTCTTCATCTCCAACGAATTGATAACCAATCATATTTTGAATATATAGTTCTAAGACATTTTGAAATTGATAAATGCTATAAATTATAACAAAAAAAACAGCATAAGCAACAAAATTAGGCAGTTTTTTTTTTTTTTTTTTTTTGATACCTTGTAAAATTGGGAGAATTGCGTTAGATAATGTTAGAAATTATAGGATGGTTTTATTCATTTCAAAATATCAAAAAGGGCCTTATAAATATTGAAAAATACAATATTAAACCTACCAATATTACAGCAGGCGATAGGTACACCCAGCAGAAGTACCAAAATTTACTTGGTCGTACTCCCGTCATTTTCTCAATGCAGTCACTTACTTTCTCACCACCAAAAACCCATGAAATAGCAACTGTTTGGAAAAAACAAACCCATAGAAGGCACATCCCAGAGGCTGAGTAATAATCCATCAGTTGGAAAATAAAAATGCCGCCCTAAAATTGTATTAAAATTAATTCTCTTTAAATAAGCTATTTTTTAAAAATATATTTAAGTAATATGCCTTTAGTTATTAATTACCTGGGTGACCATTGGAATTCCTAGAATACATAGAGATAGGCATACCAGGAAAGTAAATTTCCTCCTTCGGGGCCTCAGCTGTTTTGGCCAACTGTCAACCATTCCAGTAACAAACGATTCCACCAAACAGAACTCGCTGTCGATTCCTAGTGTCTAGAGGGAATAGAATGTTCAAAAAAATGTTTTAATAGATTAGGAATGGGAGTAAATATATTTGTTGTAGCATCATTAACAATACGAGAAAATTTTGTATTTAAATCATAAAATCATTGCAATCTTTTTAAAAAATTAGATCAATCATTGCTCAGTTTTCAAAGATTGAAAAAAAAAATTACTTTTCAATTTTCTCTTTTTTTTTATTCTAATCCTCCCATAATTATATTTTTTATGGCATTAATCATTCGTTATATTTATTTCAATAAAATAAAGATTATATTAAATTTTCTTTTATTGTTACCTTGACTACAAATTTCCATTATATTATTATAATTTAAAAAACAAAAATTGTTTTTACTCTAATTATTTTTTTTTTTTCACCGTTTTATAGACATAACATACGATATATATTTTGAGCTATTTTACTTAGGTTTCTTTTTACAACATACAAATCTGTAAATGAAATATTTACTTAATATATTTTTTAATGAGCAACAATCACAATTACAAATTAACGCTACTTTAAAAATGTTTTAAAACTGATGAATAATACTTACAATCAACATAAGGAAAAATATTCCAGCCCAAATTGGCGCCCAAGGTAGTGTAAGAACTACTTCAGGATATGTGAGAAATACCAAGCCTGGACCAGAAGTGACAACTGATTCAATAGATACATCTTGTTCCTGGGCTAGGTTGCCCAAAATGGCAAATGTCATACATCCTGCAAGGATACTTGTAAGAGTATTCACCACACATGTTATTATAGCATCTCTGAAATTAGAAAAAAAAAATATATTTGAGGTATTTCTAAAAAATATACTGTATTCTATTTGCCAACTCAATAGAAGTCTAATTAGTATGTGATCAGAATATATTAGTTTTTAAATTTTATAATACATTCAGTTCAATAGCTAACATAGTATCTTAACATATAAAAGTTAACCACAGATACTGTAGGTATCAAGTGATTCACAAAATCAAATGAATATAGAGAATTTCTGACTTATCACCCCAACCATCCTTCTCTTCATTATTCACGACAATCAACCATTAACCCACAAGAAATGAATATAATTTGTCATGATACAAATATATAATATAATTCTAAATAGTGGATAATTTGAACGTTTCTACAGGTCTCTTGTTTTTTTGTGGTTTTTATTAAACACAACGTAAAAAAAGAGATTTTATTTGATTTTTACTATTCTACAAACTCATAATTTATTTCCACAGAAAAATATATAATTGTATTGCAATTCCATCTATTTAGATCCAATTCCATTGCAATTTCATCTAGAAGAAAGAGGACTCCTAAATGTCAATAGATTGATTGTAAAAAGAGTCACATTCAGTATTGACAGAACAGCCTGTCTCTTAGAATTGAAGAAATTCCACTATATATTATAAGCTATAAATGTTTTTTTGCTTTTTTTAGATCTTATGCTAAACATTATTCTATCAATAGGTTAATATTTGCATCCTCCATTTTAATAGCCAACTATTTCTTCATCAAATGTAAAATTATAAATAAGAATATTATATTTTTTTATTCAAAAATTCTTCTACAAATAAGGTTCTTTTTTGTTACCAATATAAACTTCACATCCACAGGTCAGTATTAGTTTCAGTGTATATTTTTAAATGTGACATCAGGAGTAATAGCATTATTTTATTCATTAGTGAGTCCAGCATTAAAAATCTATAAAAAACTTCTTTTGTACCTTGAAATTCTATTAAGTTAGTGGTTCAGAAATATTTCTAGATATTTGTACGTAAGTTTCACAAGACAGGTTTATATGTGAAATTATATTGTCCAGAGGAGAATAATACGGAGAGCTAAGATGGGAAATCTTAAAGAGATCAAAATATTTAAGCCAACCACTATGGAAGATATAAGAGCATTATATTTGTTCATCTCTAATATATCTAATTATAGAGAATTGGTGAGATGATCTCAAATATTTTCCACTGAGTATTGTAGTAAAAATGTAGATTGAATATTGGCATGGATTAAGATAGATATTAAATAGATTTATTTGAGTCTTGTTCTCTTGTTTATTTCTTTGTTAATGTGAATAATCTGATAATTTATTTTTAGAACCTGATTTAATATTAATATTTAAAGAATAAAATGTGTTTATTGTTTTTATTATTGTTTATGTATTCTATTGACAATTCTAGATTTTATACTAATGTTAATGATTGGAATTATTTTAACTGTCTGACTTTTTAATAAATATTATTTGTAAGTAGTCCTTAAGATTTTTTAAATATTTATAATGAAGCATAAAAAGGAAGAAATGTATATTGTAATACAGTAAGGGTAATAATATTTATAATATGGAGATAGGCTCAATTTGTATGGGGTTCTTCCTTTAAAAGAAATAAAAATAAATAAATAATATAGAGAGTTTGGGGATGAACTTTGTAAAAAAATAAGTGAATTCTTAATTTAGAATGCTCTGCGCTATTGAAAATTACTACTTCATTTTTGTTGCTTATTGGGTTTAGAACCCCTAAATACAAGAAGTAAGGATTTTCTTACAATTTACTAGCCTAATCAAGCACAAGTGTGAAGGCCGAGATTAAAAATTGGATAAAAATCAGTGCTGCTTCGGATTCAAGCGAATCAAGATATTATTTCTTGGCCACCGTGACCTCAAATATTGTTATTGTGTTTTTAATTAAATCACTTACCTATAACAATTGTAATTAAAATTATTATAGGATCCAAGTGCAGGTAAAGCTCCAGTCCCAATGCTATAGGCAAAGAAGATCTGAGAGGCACCATCTATCCATGGTCCAGAGCCAAGAAGTTCTGACCAGCGAGGAGTTACATAATACAAGAGTCCAGTACCAGCTCCTGGTAACGTGACAGCTTTACAGGCAAGGATGATCAGTATCACGTAAGGAAACAGAGCAGTAAACCACAAGACCTTAAATTTAAATAAAAATATGTGACAATGAAGCCGACATTTATTAACCTAATATTATAGAGTATGATATTTAATGAAACATATTAAAATTAGAAGTCAATTTAATAGAATAAATTAAATAATAGTTCTCCATTTATTCTAAGGGAGATACTTATTTTCGAGGTATATAAGTAAGAATATTTGTTTCAGTGATTTATTCTCCCAAAATCATTCCACTCAATTACATTATAACGTTTCGGGATCCACTTTTATATCCAATCTTCAGACAGTATCCCACATCATCATACTCTCCATAAGACTTGTCAAATTTTATTATTGCCCTATTCCTTGAAATCATATTTTAGTCTCTGACTAGGCTCTCCCTAAAGGAGATTAAAATATGATTTCAAGGAATAGGACAATAATAATAAAATAATATAATATGAAAAGTCTTATGGAGAATAAGATGATGTGGGATACTGTTTGAGGATGGTATATAAAAGTTATGATGTAATTGAGTGGAATGATTTTGGGAGAATAAATCACTGAAACAAATATACTTACTTAAATAATCGAATAAATTGAAGAATAATTTAAAATACTGTAGAAAAATAATTATATAAAAAACAAAATAATCCATTAGTCTAGAATTAGTCTCTAAAATTTAAGTTAATTATAGTTTCTGCCTTAATTTTATTTTGCATTGCAAGAAACTCAGGATTGTAAACTAAGTATATTTTGATAACAATTCAAGACAAAACTTAACCAGTTTTAGTATAAACAATTTGGTGTATATTGATAAGAGAACATTTTTTTTTATTATTATTATTATTTATGTGAAACTCACTTGTGGATAAATAAACATCTATTATTATTTAATTACTTAATTCTTCAGGATTATTGAAAATTCATCATTTCTTTTCTTTTTCCTCTTCTTTCTCCCCTTTTCAGGGTTTTTTCTGTGCAAAAGGAGAGGGCAAGGGATTAATACCCGTGTTAAAAGCCCCCTAGGCACTGTAATTTGAAATTGCAATCTAGGATTCGCCTGGTTGCCGGGCAATGAGTAATTTGCACACACGTTAGCCCGTTCGGCCCACCGCGCCCCGGGTTAATTTTATTTGTTGTACCTTTCCACTTTGGTGGATTCCTTTGCAGATAACTAAGTAAACCACTACCCATCCAATAATCAAGCAGAAAAGTAGCTCCCATCGTATTCCTCCAATTTCCAAAATCCCACTTGTCATACCAAGCATCCTTCTTCTGTAAATCAAAAAAAAAAATAAAATATGAAAATATTATTATAAATTATTTTTTAAAAAATAAATTATATTAAAAGATGAAAATTTTAGTCCTTACTCCCAAAATTCTTCCACTGGTGATGTGTTTGTTAAATTTGTGATATTGACTACCTGGCTTACATTCCATTGTTTTTCATAACAAGATTCAGTATTCCAAGGATTTCCTATAGAAAATTATTTAAAAAAAAAAAAAAATGAAATGAAATGATAAAACATTTATTGTAAAAATTCCACCAATATTATATAAATTAAAAAATATTCATAGCTAACCAGGATTCAAACAATTGTCTATTACAGTAAGAAATGCTTACTATACAATGTTTCCCCTGTGAAATTCTGTATTTAAGATAATAGGAAGTCCTTCATAAAGATTAAATTTGTCAAATCAATACATATTTTCGATAATATTATGGTTTATTTCATAAGTTTCAACTACCATTAATTTTTTATTGTTGATTTAAATATTTATATTTTTAACACTGAATTGATTTGACCATACTGACACATTATTTAATCGATAGGAAAAGAAGTAGTATCAGTGTAACAACAATTCAAATTTTAGAAATCTTTAGATTTTTATCTATATATTTTTAAATCTACTCATAATACATCACAGCTTAAACCTTCTCAATAGTGCTATGTTCCTGGCCTCGCGTTTCTACGGCGAGTAAGGGGTTCCAGGAACCGCATTTATTCGTATTAAAATGTATTTAATACTTATATTTGTATTGAAATGTTAGATACCACAGACCCCCTACTGTAGTATCCTAGATTGAACCATATACTCTTTATTGGATTTCCTTTCTAAAGGTATCATGTTTATAAATGTACTATTTGTTTCTATTACTAATTGGTGGCATGCAAGGTAGAATGTAAAAGTACTACGTTGGTTTACTAACTATTATATTTACAAGCTTAAATAAAACCAAAACCATCTATATACAAAATAATAACTAAACCTATATACATAATGACTAGTTGAGAATCATACTAGAGGAGAATGCTTGATGCTTGATTAAAGTTACGTGTTATATTTATTATATTAATTAATGATGTATGGTTGCCAACACAAATTTACATTAGTATAACTAAACGCTTGTTACCACTTAGCTGGTCCTTCATAGTGTTTCTAGCTGTCATATCTGGATTCCCTGTCTCTGCTCTCCTTCAGCGTCTAGTCCGTCCATCTGCTCTCTCCGTCTGTCTTCATCTTCCTCCCTCGACTCCCTCGCTTCTCCTCCTCTCAGCTCTGAGTTCCCAGAAGGAGTCCTCTCCTCTCCGAGTTCCAAACAGAAGTCTCTTCGTCCAAGTTCTATATTTTCCACCTTTTTTCATCCCCTCTCTTTTGGTAGGGCAAGAATTTTTCCTGATTGGTTCAATTTTGTAACAGAAGGGATGACCACGCCCTCTCCCCCAGGCCAAGGTAAAGCAGCAGGTACAGATTTAGGTATTTCTGGTGGAAGGTGTGAAAAGGTCTTTTGGGATCCTTTTTAAACACTTAGTTGTCGGTCTTTGTCGGTGGTCCTTAAGGGTTTTTATTACCACTTACAAAAGGTTGTCCTAATGGGTTACCCTCAGTCAGGTACCGCCAGATGTGTGAACACTTATGATGTTTATTTATACATTTAAAATAATTATTCCACCGGCGGTCTTTACAATACATAGCATTCTCCTAGTCTTGGGGAAAAGAAAAAATTAATAAACTTGTTTATTTGATTTTTTCTTTAGATATTATTCATCAATACCTTTACAATAGGCTTCCTCTATCTGATCTCAGAATGAAAAGTAAAAATTTATTTATGAACAATATAGGATGAGATTTAACTCAAATATACACAAATTTATACATTAACTACTGGAAATATTGAAAAAATATGCTTTTACATAACCAGTAATTCAATTTTACTTATATATCTCAAATTTACCAATTCTGCAATATATCAATACCACTACTCGTAATTCTTTATAGTTTATCTATTTGTTTAGTGGAACACAAAACAAAACATATACTTATATATATACACATTGACATTCATTACACTACTCTCATTGAACTATGTCCTCCTTTACTAACATCTCATTTAGCCAAGATTTTATAGTGTCATTTCCTTGAATTCTTAACATTCACATTATCTTTACACTATTTATATAATTATTATTTATACTCTCAAAAAAGAGTCTTCAAAGGAATTCAAGTTATCTCTGGTGTACTTTTAGGCAACTACATTTACACACATAATACAACAATGACATATTATTCATTTAGTGTAACTACCTTGTGTTGCAACCACTATAATAAAAACAAAAATTTTACCTTTGGTTTCTAAGTGGTTTGTACCATCTTTTACCTTTAAACTTTTATATCATATCCTTGGTCTAGAAGCTCATAGCATTCTCATCATTTACAACAGTCCTTTCATTTTCATTCACAAATTTTTAGATCATATATACCTCCTAGCTCTCCAAAAGGAGATCAAAACTTGTTTTTTACAAAATCGGATGGTATATCAAATTCATGAAAACCATTCTAATGTCACTATCGGGATGTTTATATATTTTGCTGAAATAGTGAATGAACCTCAGGCGACTTCGTTTTCTCAATGACCTATTAATATTTTATTTATTCAAAAAACTATTCAATTCCTATCTTATGTTTTTCAATTATGATTTAACTATGAATGAATCATCCATTCCTTACACGTGGCCGCTATAAACCGTTAAATTTGCCTCAAATGTAGTCATGTGCACATCATAATAATGAAGTATATTACTTCAGCCCCATTTACCATTATAATTTTTAAACCTTTAACTTCTGGATCCATACACATACTACCTCAGTACTCTGGAGGTATAGTTATAGAAGATTTCTTTATCTTCTCCTAATTATTTATCACACTTAGTGATGAATGGATGCACTACAGCTATTCCATTAAAAGGGTTCTCCCTTATATAAAATTTATCAACCCTACGGGTGATGAGGAGGACCTATGTCTACTCCTAGTTGAGGGTAACTATTCCCTATTCCTTTAGATTAAATCCTATCTGGATTAAAAAGAAAATGATCCAATTTTTCTTAAGAAGTTAATTTGGGGTGCTCGTCTGCGGTAACTTTGAACTACGGCAATATTCCGTAACATAATTATAACTCGGTTTTACTCCCATCAATCTGGCCACTGCACATTTAAATTAAAATGAAAAGTTTTATCCCTTTATTTAATAATGATTTATTTTCGGTCCTTCCCTTTTTCTTTTCTAATAAAAGTTTAGTAACACAAATCTATTATTAAAAAGGTTTTACCTCTACTTTAATTTAACTATTATCATAAGCTAGTATGATTACTTCAATTTAAAATTTACTTTAGTCGATTCAGCCTGAGATTCCTTCCATTCAGCCCTCAAAATTGGTTATTAAATCTAAATCCTAAATCCTATTCACAACTTATTTTTACAAGTAACTATATACAACTAATTTACAAGTATCCAGAATGGGTAACCTAACGATGGTTTCGCCAGGACCCATTAGCTCGTCAACGGAAGGGACGCTAAAAAACCCCTTTTTGCCCTCTGGAATGGGACAAAGACTACCGTGGCTTAAAATAAGATTTTAACCGGCCTGTCCTAACATGGTTCAGAGCCATATAACTCTTATATATCTCATCTTCTAAACTACAAATGAGGATTGTCTCTAATTCTGCATGCCTATAATTATAATCCTTATATCCCTCCTCTTCTTTAATACAAATGGGAATTGTCTCGGTTTCTGATGGCAATGATCTTTTTTCGCTAAACCCTTCTATTTTCGGAGACGTCCGTGCTGATATGGATGGTTCGACTAAAGCTGGAGGGCCTATATAGTCTTCTTTAATTTCTACGATCTCGTGGGTCTCCTTATCGACCTGAAAAAAGAATTCTCTGATCTTTATGGAACCTAATACAAAACCTCTCAACGTTTCTTCCTGGGCTTCTTTAATTCCTTCCTCTTTTTCACTGATTTCTTTTATATCTTCTCTGAGATTTTCAGATTCAAGACTTTCATTATCTAATGTAGAGGTTTCGCTTTCTTGTTCCTCGGAGGTAGTTCCTTCATCTTCAATTTTTCTATTCTCGCCTAAGGAGTGTACGGCTAATACAGGTTCATCCACTTCACTAACTTCATTAGGTTCCTGCTCAGATTCAGGACATTCATTCTCTTGACCTTCAACATTTTCAAAGTCACTTGTTTGATTTTCTTCCAATGGGTGTTCTTGGCTGACCTCTTCTTCTCCTCCTGTCTTTTTATTTATCTCGGCTATTGCTTTAGTGAATGTGCTGTCTATAGATTCCATTAGGCTTCTTTTCGCATTCCTAATACTTTCACCCATTGAGTCTATTAGATTTTCTTGCAGTTTTTTGTTGCCTTCTTCTATTTTCTGAAGGAGTATTAGAAACATGTTATTTCCTCCTAAACTAAAATTATCCTCTATCTTCTTATTGGCCTGTGGCTGGGTTTTCTTCGGGATTTGAATCACTGTTTCTTCAGTTGATCTCAGTTCTGGTTTTCTGGGTGTTTTCTGATCAGCTACTGCTTCAGATCGTTTAGGCTTTGGTAGTATTTCTGTTTCTACCCTAAGAGCCATCTTTAAAAGTATGTGCGTATATTATCCCTTTTAATTTAATACCTATTTTAACCTTTTAGGAAGGGGTTAAACGCTATCATAAAAATAATTCCCAATACCTTTAAAAAATATCCCATTAATAATAAACCACAATGAAAATGAGCCACTTTTAATACCAGACCATTAAATAGGAGAGTGAAGATTTTTCGATATTAAAAATAGGTTTGACACAAATTATTGAACCGCAGAATCAGCATAGTTTTTAAATCAACGCAGGAAAGAATTTAACTAAATTTTGTACGTTACAACACTCAATCAAGCTTTACAGTCATTACATTTAACAATCATTTTATATATATTAAATTATCTCAAACTAACCAACTTCATTACATTCAAATAACCAAATTAAATTAAATCAAAGATGTTTCCCTCTTGTACGATTCTTAGTACCAACTTATTACAATGCCACCTTTATTAATCATAGGAATGAAATTCTAAAAAATCAATTATTTTAATCTTAGAAACAAATAGTAAATTTAATGATACGTCCTTCACATGGGATGCCATTT